GAGCTGAGGGACAGTGCTCAGGCCCAGAGTTCAAGCCCCACGACCGACAAAAAAAAAAAAAAAAGAGTGTGCAAGTGCTGTATTTGATGTTGGTGCCCTGTGTCTTGTATATACATTTTTTGTAATTTGGGGAGGGGAAGGGAAATAACAAAATGCTGAAATAAGGATAGAGGTTGACCCATTGTAACAATGAGATGTACAAGACACTACATTGAGAATGAACTTTACAACTTGAGGGGGGAGGGAGGAGTTGGGGAGATGGGGAGGGAAGGGATGGTAGGGGAAAAACAAAGGAGGAGGTAACAATGCTCGATAGGAAATGTACTTATTACCTTACTCATGTAACTGTAACCCCTCTGTACAGTATTTTTACAAAAAAATATAAAAATAAGTAAAAAAATAAAAGAACACTTTCTTCAAAAAAAGTGTGCTAGTGATGTATGTTTGTGTGTTATAATGTGTGTATATATATCAACTAATATTGTAATATGTATATGTGTATATATAATTTATATATAAATTAAATATCATAATCTTTAAATTTTATTAGTATACAGATTAGACAACTTCATTTCCTTTAAGAATTATTTCTAGCCATTTTATGAATTTTAATATTTCTGAAGTTAATTTACCACATACTCCCTAGGGATATTTATTGTATCTGGCAATAATCTTTCAGAGCTTAAAGAAAAGAGCTCATACTGGTTAACATCTTATCAGTAGAGAAACACATTTCAGCTGCAAATATTTGTCCTTTTGTTCAAACTGCTGAACCCTAAAGCCTAGAGATGAACAGATTATAAAGTAAGACATCAAGATATCATAGTCTGGTTCTTTCTACTGATGTAGCAGAGGAAAAGGAGGTGATATTTCTGTAATTCAAGGAACTTTATAGAGAACACAAAAGTATTCCAGAGAGCTCGATATTGTGACACATACTTGTAATCCCAACACTCAGGAGGATGAATTTGAGGACATCTTTGGCTACAGAGTAAGACCTTGTTTGTTTGTTTTAAATTTTATTCTAGTTGATACATATTTAAAGCATTCGGGAGCCCAAAAGATAGTATAAGTAGTTTACTACATTAGGGAGCAGGGAGGTCTCTCATATTCAAATTCAATTTAAAAACAACAAATTATCATTGAGTAAGGAGATAATGTCATGAACAAACAGAAACAGCTATTGTTATCAAGGAGTTAATTGTCCAACTAATACATCAAGTTAGCAAGCACTGAAACCCCCAGCACTAAGAGAAACTGACTCTTTCAGGTATTGCTGGAAGCAGTTATTCTAACACTTAGCTATCAACCTGAAACATGTATCAGCATTTTGATTTAGCAATTCTATTTCTGGAAACCTGACTTAACAAAATTTTCAACACAGAATAATATTTTAGCTACAAATTAAATACCCATGGCCAACAAATGAAAAGTAGGTACATTAGGAAACACTGTTTCTAATGAAAAACAATGGTAGCCAAGCCTTGGTGGCTCATGCTTGTAATCCTAAACGATTTAGGAGGCTGAGATTTGAGGATTGCAGTTTGAAGCCAGCCAGGGCAGAAAAGTCCCCATGAGACTCTTATCTCCAATTGACCACTCAAAATCTGGAAGTGGTGCTGTGGCTCAAGTAGTAGAGCACTAGCTTTGACCACAAAGAAGCTCAGGGATAACACCCAGACCCTGAGTTCAAGACATACAACCAACAACAAAAAAAAGGGATGGTAATGGACACAAAGTAAACTTCTTTTAATATTATAAAGAATATAAACTATCCTTGTATAAAATTATAATCATGTAAAAATAAGAGGTTTTCAAGAACGAGACAAAAAACATTACAATATTTGGACAATTATGGCTATTTTAGATTTGTATGGTTTATATTTTTGTATTCTTTCTGCATATTTATTTTAATACATTAAGTCTTAGAACATACATGTATGTTAAAAATACAGCCAAGTGAGCTCTTCTTATAGAATTTGGGAAAAATACAAAGTTTCATGTATATGGGTAACAAGTACTTGCATATCATGTGGTTTGTACTTTGTAGAGTATACAGAGGTTTTTAAGTGATAATATTTTATATGTGATTTTGAAAATAGGGGAATAAAAGAGGAATAAGAGGGCTTTACCATTATCCTAACCATACAGAATCTCCTGTGTCAGAAGCCATGAACATTGTACAAACCAATGTAAGAGTCAACACTTATTCATGGGGTGAGACTTTCAGGAAGGAGCCCTGGAGGGACACTTCACCCCATAAACCAGGCATAGCAACCTCTCTGAGTCCATAAACAGAAACAGTAATGCATGAGTGGAATAAACAAGGAAGAGGTGGGTAAGTCATTCTTGTCATTTGCTACTTACTGACTAACCAGGAACTGGCAGTTTTGTAGTAGAATTAATTAATGTTAGACCCAAAGGAATCCTGTTCTCTCTAATCTGCCTTTTCCATTATACAGACAGGAATCTGAGAAAAATTTATACACCAGAGCCTTAGGCACTTTTTTTTTGGCTTGGGGGGGGGTGTTGTCCTTCCCTCATAAGCAATAACAAACGTGATTTACAATGTCAAATTTATAAAAGATCCACCAGGTACTGATGGCTCATACTTTGGAACCTAGATACTCAAGAGGCTGAGATATGAGGATCATGTTTAGAAGCCTTTCCAGGCCCCCTCCCCAAAAATAGCATGAGACTTATCTCCAATTAACCACCAGAAAGCCAAGGTGTGGCTCAAGTGGTAGAGTGCCAGCTTTGAGCAAAAATGTAAAAGACAAATGCCCAGGCTTTGAGTTTGAGTCTCAGTACTGGCACACACCAATTAAATCCAATGTATGTAAGGGGAGACTTTATTCTAAATGATTACTGAAAAAGGAGAGAAAGGCCCCGTTACTATAGGGAGAATACTTTGATCCTGAGATCTACCTACCAGTCTCTCCAAAGAGACTTTCTTTTTTTGGGGGTGGGGGTGGGGGGGTAAACAACAGCAAGTAAAAAGATGAATGAGCTAGGGTGGGCAATCTTGCAATCAAAAGAGAAAGTTATACCCTGAGGTCAGTCTATTCTCAGGGATCAGGTAAGGGGGATTATATGATATATTTAGGCTAAGGTTGAGTCAGGAGAAGAGAGAGAAAAGTTGACCAAGTAATTTTCCCTGATTAGCCAATTCATACAGATAGTTCAGTTAACCCTTGTGGTATAAAGGGATTTTGAAGAGTCTTTGTTCATCTCACCTAATCCAAGTTGTAAAGGATGGGTCTTTGCAGTAAACTGTTACTGGAACACAAAAAATGAAAGAGCTTCTTTAACTTTTCCTGTTTTTCCAGTATCAGGGTTTAGATAAAGCTCATCATGGTCAATAACCTATGTAGTATAAAGACCAACAAACAGGTCAGCTCTGGGGATCTGTCATCTTGTTACTCAGGAGGCTGAGGGAGAAAGGATCATGATTTCAGGCTAGCCTGGGCTACACATTGAGAAACTTTCTAACAGTGACAACAAAAGGTCAACAAATGTTTATTGCTTTACAATACTTTCTTCACCCCAATACCTATTTTGCTCCCTCCCCACTTTCTGTGGCTTCTAAAACCACCATGGATCCTAGGCACTGAACCTAAGGTTAAGTTAGCCCTGATCTAGCCTGACACAGGAAGGTTGAATATTTGTTTAAGACCATCATGCTAGCCATGACAGAGCTCATCCAAGGGCAACCAGGTCTTCACGGTTTTCAGCAAGGGCTCATCTAGATAGAGAATGCTCGAAGCAGGCTAAGGATATCAACTTGGATAGAAGACCCTTCAGATTTAGAAAGTCAGGATTGGCAAGGGAATTTCTTTGGAGAGCTGGGAACTGGGGTTCCTTAACAGTTGACTGCTAAGATACTCATCCTTAGCCATGTTTTGGGGGTGTCTACTGTGAGCTTCACAGCTTGCCTTTAGCAGAGCTTGCTGTCCAGCAGAAGAGGCCATATAATTGCAATAAACTGTAACAGGTGCTCTGTAGGACACAGGAAAGGAGGCAGTTTGCAGACAATCAGCAATGTGCACATGACCTGAGAGGGACCCTGAGGCTCCAGATAAACCCATACCAGGAACTAACAAGCCACCCCCCCACCCCCCACCCCCAGGGCAGAAAAAGAATGTTCTAGTCTGAAGGCAGAGGGAAAGGCGCTCAGGGGAGAACTAAACCTGGCTTGTATTCTGAGAAAGCCAGGAATCAGTGAACAAGGAAGGGTTACAATCTCTCCCACCTGTTTTCCAGACCAGTTATTTCTTGGAACCCAAAGGAGTCCCCCTGAGTTTGGAAGCCCCTCAAGTTTGAGATTCTTGGAGAAGTTTTCCTGGTTCACCCGTGCACATACAGTCTGGAAAGCTGGTTTTAAATGTAACCTTGGGTATTTTTTTTAACTTTTTGGTATGTATTTATTTGCTTTTTAATATAAATTTACCTATTCTTGACGCTTCCAAGGTCGGCTTTCCTCGCTCACCTAGGGAGGTGGAGTCTTGAAGGAAACCCCCAAGTTTTTGGGGGTTCTCAGTCGCTGAGGTCAAAAGTTCAGGCCACAGCAACTCTCCAGGCACAGAAAGGACCCGGCACCGGCAGGCTTCAGGCCCAGCCGGCTGGTTCCCGCCAACGCCGCCTCAGCCACCACAGAACTCCGGAGCAGGTGACAGGTGAGCAAGCAGCCGGCGGGCGGGAAACTGGCTGCAGCTGGGCCGGCGGGAGAGGAGGTGTGGCCTGAGCGAGGCCGTGGGCGTGGTGGGCGGGGTTTAGGCTGGGTCCGGGCGAGAATGGGCGTGGTATGGACGATGGTGGGCGGGGTAGAGGCGGGGCCCGGAGCGGTGGCGGGCGTGGATGTGGATGGGCTCGGCGAGAGTGGGCGTGGTAGGGGCGGGATCTGAGGCTGTACTGGGCGGGGCTTGGCTGGAACCCAGCGAGAGTGGGCGTGGTAGGGGCGGGGCCTTGGGGCTGTAGGAGCTTGTTCGTGTTGGATGGGGCGGGGCCTGAAGACCCTGAAGGCCGGGCGCTCGCGGGGTGGAGGCTCCTCAGCTGCACCGCAGTCGGGCCGCTCCGGTGAGGCGACGCCCCTGGTTTGACTCAGGCTCCCCTGTTCTGGGCACTGGGTCCTCCGTGGTCCCCGCCACGCTTGGCTCTACTTTGGGGGGGGGGGCTTCTTGTCCTCCCCTCCCTCCCCTTGCCCCAGAGCCGGGTGCCCGGAGGGCGGGAAAGCCAGGTGGGCGCGCGGCACAGTGGCTGAACTTTTTCTGGGGTTCCCGGCTCAGGCCGTGAACTTGAGGGGCTCTGGGGATGGTGGTGAGGGAGGCTTGGGGGTTTTTTATTTGAGGGGGTGCGGGGGGGAAGTCTCTGCTTCTCAGGTACTTTTAGGGGCCTACTTTAAGAAAACTAGTGGAACAGTTTCTGGGACTCGGGCTTCTCAGTTCGTTTGCTTGAGGGGAGAAGCGGGGTGGGGGGGTGGGGAGAACTTGGGGGTCTCCTTGTGGGGGGGCGGGGGAGTGCAGAAGCTTAGTCAGCCTTACTTGCTGCACACCTGCGGACGAGGGGGGAGGGGGACGATAAGGATGCCCAGGAGAAGAACCTGGAAGAGGTCACACACAACTAGAATATTCTTTTCCAGGTGCTTCCTTGTCCCGGCCTTCCTCATTTGTCACAGTATTTTGTAAACAGTTAACCGTGGTCTAGAACTGGAAGCAACCTTCAGTTCTCCTCCTCCTGGGCCTCCCCTTCTCCTCCCACCCTCCTCTTCCTTTTCTTCTCTCTCCATCTCTTCCTTCCTCCCCACGCTCCTCCCTTCCCCTTTCCCTCCTTCCCTCTCTTTTCCCCTCTTCTTCTCCAAATGAGTTAGGGATCTGATTGCCTGAAGGAAAGAAACTTGGCTTTGTTCTTTCACTTCTCCATCCAGCTGCCCCTCCTTATCCATACACCAGAGTTCTTCTTCTTCTTCTTCTTTCTTCTTTTTTCATTTTCTCAGTTTTTGACCAGGGGAGGAGAAAGTAAGTGGTCACGCCAAGTACTTGTGGTTAATTTGGTCTTGTGGCTTTTTTTTTTTTTTGTTTGCTTGCAAACATTGTTTGTTCCTTAGCCTTCTTTGAGTTGCATCAACATGAAAATGTGCCAGTCTTGTTTTCTGTAAAGAATGCGGAGGGCTGAAGGAGAAAGAAACTGTCCTTGAAATCAGTGATTCCCCCCCCCCCCAAGCCACCAAAAGCAGCCCTGAGTTCAGTTCCAATATTCTCACCTCTTTGGGAAAAGGTAATTGTAAGCTAGATATTTTTTTTCCCAATTTAACTGTTAAGCTTCTTGTGTGTGACATCTTCTGTTAATAGACTTTAGTGGAGGGAATGTTCTAGAAATCTGAGGTTATAGTTTATAGAAGACTACCAGAATAGGAGAATATATTTAAGTTATTATGTAATAACAATGGGCTTTGAAAACACTAGTATCAGGAATATTTCAGGTTTCACAATTGTTGGATTCAGTTGTCTTTTGGGCCTGACAATTTACATTTTGTTATTTGCTAATGATAATGTTCCTTAATATTGCTGACAGTGGGTGGCATTCTTTATTCTGGCTTGAAAATTTACTTACATTTTCTATTATTTAGTAATAATGTTAATAGTATTTCTTAATATTGCTTACAATGGATGGTATTCCTTATTAATAATTCCATCAGTCTATTATAAAAGGTATTTTTCTAGAGCCTTGATTGATATGGAGTTGTAAAAAATTTTTTAGTTGTAAAATTTCTAGTTGTAAAATTTCTAGATTTAGTTTTTCTAGTTGTAAAATTTCTAGATTTAGTTCGTGTCTAGGCCAAAGTGGAGGCAGGGTTATTTGCTTGGGATCTTAAATAAAAGTGTTTAACTATGTGCTGAGTTCTAGTCTCAGATCAGCTTTAAAATCTTTGGGATCTCAGCAAGTTCTTTAACGATTGTGTGTCATTTTTAATCTTCAAAAATGAGGGAATTATCTCTGGCTGGAAAGGACATGCAATACTTTGGATCTCTTCCTTGGATCCTTTCTAAAAATGCAGGTGTTCACATTTAGGGTAGTTGTCATTGCTCTAGGAGAGTTTTCACTAGTGTTTACTCTTTTTCCAGAGGGTGTGCTAGCCTTTGGACACACTATTGCCCCACTTAAGTGTAAGGCAATAATTAAGAGCCCTCAACTGACAGGTCTGTTTCTTTTCTAACTCTGACTTTAGGTCTCATTTACCTTGAGTTTAGGATAATGTCTAGTAGCTTTCTGAGGATCAAGTGAAGCAATTAAGTAATGAAAGCAGCACAGAACCTACAATTTAATAGTCAACAAGTAGTGGCATTTACTATCTTAAATGATGTCTGCCAGTACTGGTGCTTGAACTCAGGATCTCATACTCTCATTAGCTTTTTGGTCAAGGTTGGTACTGCTCCACCTGGGCCACATCTCCATTTCCAGCATTTTGCTGGTTATAAAAAAGTCTCCTGGGCTTTCCCACACAGGCTAGCTTTGATCTGTGACCCTCATGTCTCAGAAGGCTGAATTAGCTAGGATTCCAGGCATGAGTACTGGTGCTCAGCTTCTTTGTTTCTTTTAACAATTTGAAATTTAACTCAGATTAATGGAAAGTCTGACATAGAGGTGCTTTTAAAAAATACAAGATAGAATTGTGATCTATTAAACCAATTGGTCTCAAGATTAATTGGTGAATTAGCCATAAACGGTGAAGGTCTAGAAAGCTGACAGGATTTTAGATGGCACTGGAGAAATTAGAAAACACATCAATAGCCAAGGATTTTTTTTTCCCTTCACTCTGCAAATCCCACAGCTACTCTTAAGCTGACTATACAAACTGACTTATCTAAGAAGGAGAAAAGAGAAGACTTTTGAAACTAAATTATCCTCATTCAGAGTTAATACATGAATTCTGACTCCCCTCTCGTTCTATGTAAAACTCTTTGCCAGAGGATTTCAAGTGGAGAAAATGTACAGGTTATACCCACTAGGCATTGAGAGTAGAGTTCAGTTAGAATGAATCATTAGAGTAAGGGGGTAGGTACTCTAATAAGGAAAGGGAAGGCTGGAAGCTGAGAAGTACTGAGCATCCATCAGGGAAGGCTTGGCAGCTTAAAATTTAGTTCCACTTCTGAAGAGGTCTATTTTATAGGCATTTGCTCAATGGAAATACTGTACTGAGAAACATCTTACGCAAATCAGAAAGTGTGTTGGTAAGGTGAGAATGTGTAACAAATTCAAATTATGGCAAGTTATTTTACTACTGTCCCATTCTGTTGTGGTGATGGGGAGATGTTGGCTAACCATTTTACCTCTGAGCTTTGGTTTTCTGAAATGTAAGATGGGGGTCTTGCTGTTGATTTACATAATCAGGTACTGATTTAACCTTCAACTGTTTCCTTTGGGGGGCATCTCCCTAACATTGTGGGAAGACTCAGTTGTATGTAAAGTACTCTGCTCTCTGATGCCCAGTAGGCCCTTAGCCTGTGTGGTATCCTCTCCTTCTCTCCTTTTGATTAAATAGAAGCAGATGGTAACCTAGATCTGACTACTGAAGGAGTTTATGATTTTTATTCTTACTAATCAAAAGCAGACCAAGAGATTTGTGCTGTTGGTTTAGAATGACCTATGGGATGCTATACTGTCGTTCTTCCCTAACTACTATAGGCTTTCCTTCCCCCATGCTGTGTTAGTAGCCTGTGTTTTGGCTCTGTGAAAGAAGTGCCCCCCCAACCCCTGCCTATCCCCAACACATCTTGAGTGTTCTCTGCTGGAAACAGGTATACATTCCTAGGTAGGAATGATAGGATCTCTGACTATTTTACACCCAGGTTATGTTTCAGTCATTGAGTTGGCTTGAGCTATTGATGTGAGTCTTAAGAAAAAGATATATAATTTTATTTTTTTGTTGGCAGTTGTTAGCCTTTAAAATCCTTTTAAGTCCTGAAGAATGTGCCTTGAAATTCTATCTCCCTTGCAAACATTGTACAAAGTGAACAATTGGATACCTAGCATTTTCTCCTTTTGTCTCTCCATATCGATTTTGAAGAAAACAGTTTTCTTAAGAAAACACAATTTTTTGTTGGAATGTCTTGCAATTTCTTTTTTTTTTTTTTTTTTGGGTCCGGTCATGGGGCCTGAACTCTGGGCCTGGGCACTGTCCCTCAGCTCTTCAGCTCAAGCTAGCGCTCTACCACTTGAGCCACAGCACCACTTCCGGCTTTTTTCTTTTTTCTTATGTGGTGCTGAGGAATCGAACCCAGGGCCTCTGGCATGCAAGGCAAGCACTCTACCACTGAGCCACCTTCCCAGCCCCGTCTTGCAATTTCTTTTTGGGTCAATTTTAATGTTTTTTTAGTTGTTCATGTCATGAAGTTTACGGAGATTGATTTAAGTTCTGTAGCCTCTAGTGTGAGTGTCTTTGGAGAGGAAGCTTAAATTCAAATTCCTGTACCAACCCTGTCCCTAGAGTTTCTAACTCATTACACCAAGTGTGGAGCCCAGGAATTTGCCTTTTCATAGATCTTTGAGAGGATGTCAGTCTGATCCTGATGAAACTTCTCTTCTTCCTCCTCCTCCTTCTTTCTTTCTCTCTCTTTTGCAGTACCAGCGATTGAACCCAGGGCCTCGTGTAAGGCAGGCAAGACTCTTATCACTTGAGCCACACCTCTAGCCCTTTTGTTTATGTTTTATTTTTAAAAGAGGTTCTCCAACTTTGCCTGGACTGGCTTCAAACAGGCCACTTTCCACCTCCAGAGTAGCAGAGAGTACAGATATGTGTTACCTCACTTAACTACTTTCTTTTTTAGTCAGTGGTTTTCCTGTAGCATTGGCCACTTTGGAAAACAAGAATATCTCTCTGTCATGTCAGTGGCTTCTATGTAAAGATGTTGGCCCTGCATATATAGGGAAGACTGACACACATGTATCAAACCTGTCATAGATGAGGAAACTAACACCTGTATACTTGTGTGGAGATGTGTATATGTTAGTCTTGTACTGAAACTAGATTATAGAAACTAGATTATAATAATTGATTTTGTAGATAAAATTATTTTTAC